GGAACAATTAATCAACTTCTTTCATGGATACAAAATTAGTTCTGCAATAGCTTCATATGCTGTTGTTGGTTATTAATTATAACTCTTGGTTTTGGATTTTAATATTATTACTTTGTGTTTTATAGATATCACCACATGGAACAACAATGATAACAAAATAAAAAACAAAAAACAGTAAGAAACTACTCTTATCACAGAACAAAACCAACCATGATACCAAACAGTCACTATAGATTGAAGGGTGGCAAAATGCTAACTTCTAGACTCCATACAACCATTGCAACCATTGTTCACAATTGTGGTTGTGTATACTGAACCCACTAACACTGGCCCTATTAATAATCACTAGTGGAAAGGAAACACACTCACAGGACCCTATATTTCACCACCGAACTATTCGCAGCTAACAGATTCTGGGTTAATCCTATACCCCTCACTGACTAACCCACCATGGTGGGGAAAGCTCAAAGGATAGCTCCAAACCCATAGTCATACAGGCATCCCTTGTGAATACCAGTGAATCACAAAATAAAGCCCATAGGCATGAGTGTGTGAGAGAGATTTGGGGAGGAAAGGTTATGGACTAGGGTAACACAGAGATAAGAATGGGTGGTGAATAAAACCGGTCAGCCTGAATTATGAACACAAATAAAATTATCTAAGGGTAAATTCAAATTTTAAAATAGCCAAGTGAAACAGTTTGAGAAGATAAATGCCATGCTTTCAAGGTCCAAGCTGCAAATGATCTAGACTGCGGCAGGATGGGGAGGAAATCAACCCAATAAATGCAGCCTAAAATATATTTTCTTAGGATATTGAAATGATTCTGGAGACTATATACATCCTGGGATAAGACTGGGAGAAAATGTGGGTTTGTTACTCTGTTTTCTCTCAGTCTCATCCCAATAAGGAAAATGAGAATGGTGACTTGCCCCACTAAGGTCACAGTACTTGCCTGAAGCTTCTGAGGAAGCTTACTGTCTACAGAGGCATGGATTCTGCTGGGCAGTAAAAGCTGTGTTTCCTGTTACACTCTCTGCACAGTGAATTTACAAACCCTCAGAAGTATGGCTGGTAAAGCCTCAAGTCTTTACACCTCAAAAGCTCTGGAGCCCCCTGAGCCCTTTAATATTCTCTGGTCCCAATAAGGGAGGCCTCATGTATATTAACATGTTTGAATTTACTCTACCTTTAATCACCTTTATGCCTATTAGAGGTAATTTTTCCATCCTCAAAGCCTTGGCTTTTATCTGATCCTGGTTTAAATTCTCATAAATGTACTCCAGGACATGAGGTAATACTCTGACTGCGTTTCAAAAGATTGTTTTGGTTCGCTAATTACACACGGCAGCTTCTGTCATTCCCCATAAGAAGATATTTTATGTAAACACTGTGGTCTGTTTGCCATTATCCAAAACCAACATCCATTAAATGGTTAACCACTTGAACTAAGTGGCTGGGATAGACATATCACTCATCTTGGCAAAAGTAATAGAATAGTCTGTGTTTGTTGAAAGTTGTTACATACTAGAGGCTTTAGAAATATTCATTGACTGAACTCAACCACTCTGTGTGTGTGTATGGGGGGGGTAACAGTATCACATTCATTTTCCAGATGTTGCAAACTGTTGAAGGAAAAAGCTTCTTCGAAGTCACATATCTATGACATGTAGGAGTTGCACTTGAGCAGAGGCAAGCTGATCCCAGATCCCGTGTTTTCTCCATTTACTGCGATGTTGATTTGGAAAGCTTCTCCCAAAGGAGGGATGGGCAGACACCCTGTGACTCTCTTTGCTTTCACTCATTCAGATCACCTAGAAGCTGGAGGCACAATTGATTTTTTGGGGGTTTCTGCCTCACACTGCTGTCATATCTGTCTTCAATAGGTCACTACTCTATGACACCTCCTGGAGGCTAGTGTTCTTACTGTGTTGCTGAGTGAGTGGCATCCTTTCACAATACCTCTCTGAGTCCAAACAATCCCTTCATTTTATTCTCCTGCCTCATTTCATTACCACCCTTTTTCAGTATCTGATATTCTATAGCAGAGAGCAATAATGTACAGAAATCTAATCCTCCTCCCCTGATAAATGTATTTAGTTTCTAACTACAGACATGGGCAGTAACCTTAAATACTGGAGGAAGAGTTTGTTCAAGGGATTTTCGTTACTTTAGTAAACTATTGGAATTGTTTGGGATGAAAAAATGGGCAATTTCCTTTCAATAGTTCACATGACACTTAGCTAAGAGGGCCAAGTATATATTTACAGTATTTGTATTCTTTACTGAATTTGGTGTATGAGAAAAGATGGGTACAGTCTTAATTCTGTAATAATTTCTCCTTGCAGCTTTAGGTACCTCTGTACCTCTGCCCTGTTCCTATTTAGGAGGAAGGAATATCACACTTCCCACTGCACAACTCTAGGAGAACAAAATGATTTCTCACACTAATATCTTCAGTGTGTGAATTAGACTGTGCTGACAAACTATACCACCTGATCTTCGTTATTGAAAAAGTGACCCAGGAATGACAGAATGACTAACAGGAAGGTCTCCACAAGTGGAGGATATGGGTCCCAAGGTCTGTTACTACCATTAACACAAACTATTGCACTGGTAGCCAGAAGCAACAATGGCACAAACAAGAAAAATAATATTCTACTCACAGCCCTGCTGTTTCACTAATTCACACGCCATTGTAGGTGTCTTGTCAACTCTGATTGCTATGCATTTTGTCAGCCTAAGTTCCCAGAGTGTCCTTATTCTCAGTAAGTTTCTTCTGTGTCAATGATTTGCACCTTTTATCAGAAACCTTAACTGATATATCCTAATTCTCCTTACATACCTTTTCTTCTAAAATAAATGCAAACTAAGGAGGCAGTTCAGGTGGTTTGGTGATCTTCCTATTAACCACTTGCTCAGTTTTTTGATAAAGGTACTTGCTGCAAAAATTGATGACCTGAATTTGACCCTGAAACCCACATGGTGAAAGGAGAGTTGTCACACTTGTTCTCTGACACACAAGTGTATACTGTGGCTTGTATGTGTGTGCAAACAAACACAATTAATTAATTAATTTTTCATTTTTCTAAAAAAAGCAGTGAAAACAGCCTCAAAAGGAGGGAAAATGTAAGAGGCCTGGTGTGTGGGAGTGGACCTCTCCATATGCTATGTATGACTTTTAGAATAAGGTTCTAACAGTTTATTATACTTGTATTATGCTTTTACAATATGCCTAGCAAGCAATGTTCTATTTAATATGCGCTGCTTAAATCTTTTCTTGGGTAAACATATTTCAGTGAACATTTCAACATGAAAAAGCAGCATAAAGGAAATTCTTCCTAAGATGGGAACATCAAGTTTAACAGCCAACCAGTATCACGGCCATGGGGGAAGTAAGGAAGTGAGACATTTAACTGTGTGAGTCTGAAATGAATTTCAATTTGGAATCATTAAAGCTGAGTAAATTTAGGCTTCAGTGAAGGAGCTCATAATTGAATGGGAAAGAAAGATTCAAAAATATTACATTGTGCACAAAGATTGATTGTAGGAAGAAGAAAGTGCGCATGAATGGAGTTGATGACATACTGTAGTTATATTTATCTTTTACAGATCATGGTATCAGGGCAGTTTGCAGATTCCCTTAATCCTAATCACATTATAATGCTACTATTTTCAATGTGCAGAAAACAAAAAAAAAGAGATGAAAATAAATTGTTCAGAGTCATAGGGTATTAACCCTATGGACAGCAATCAAGTTCATAGTAGAGTCTAAACAGTCTGGCTTAAACTTCTGACCTCTAGACAACAGGACTAGCATCCTATGTTGGGAGATGAGCAAAAGTTGAGTTAGTAAAACTCAGCTGAAATGAACACAATGAAATGAGAAGGTGCAAACAGAGAGGGCAGGTGATGCTGGAAATGGCCTCTTTAAAAACATTAAACACAAGATTAAAGATAATTTAGTGCCCAGTGAATGAGGTGAGACAGATGAATGACTAATAATTGCTATGGCTTGACTTTTCATTTTTGGAGCGCTGGGTGGAGGGCAGTCTGGGAAGTTAGGGAGCTGGAAGGAAGAAAGTCTACAAGCGTGGAAGGAATTATCTGTGACAGCATGATGAGGCTTGCCTGCCACACAGATACACATTTGGATTCATTTGTTAGACAACCGAATATAAAGAGACGAGTCAAACTGTGAGAAGCTCCACCGTTAGCATCAAAAACTATTGGATGCCTGTTTATACTTGAATTTTACATAACTGATCGTTCTTCGAGGACTGTTTTTGGAAATTTTTCTTCTACAGCAATTTTTGTTACTTATCTGAAACATAAAATTGGCAGGGCACCCTTCATTGTTTTGTGGTATCCCGAAAACCTGGCAAAGCAGACTTGAATTTCATCAACTTGAAGAGGAGACACAATCAATTGCTCTGTGTCAGGTTTCTCAAAATAAAAGAATTCTCAATGAGAAACACTAGGTAGTGGGCATTATGGATTCAAATCTTAACCCATTATTGCACTTTCTCTTGTCTCATAACTGTGCTTTTTTTATTTCATCCTCCACTCTGTTACACAGTTTGACATGTAGAGGATGAGCTGCGTATGTGCGAGCTGTGGGGATGAAGGTCCTTGTGCAAATATCCTCGGCATTGATCCTCCTGCAGGTCCATGGGAACACAGTAGGTCTAGACTAACTAAAGGGTGAGAGACAAACGGCAGAGCCCAACTTCCAGCTCATCCCAGCAGATGGTCAACCACCCTCAATGTAGCTAAACCCAGGGAGGCTCTCTTACTTCCCCCAAGTGGATTTTACTTATTGAGTAGTCAATTATTGTAGGATATTATTCTAAGGTGGTTACTTTTGTTTCTGCTCTGGAACATTTGTTTAATGATGCAAAGATGTGTTTGATTAAATAAAATTAACCTATCGTCAAGGAAGTTGGGTCAACAACTAGCTAACAGGAAGTTGTAGGGAGGAGCCAGGTAGAGAAGGATTTAAAAGAGGGTCAAGGAAAAGCACAAGGACTTCTTGGGAGACACTAAGGGGCGAGCTAGGTAAGCTGCTTGCTACTCAGCCTCTCTGGGAAGCAGGATTCCACCTCAACCTTTGACTCTTGAGTTCTATAGTGAGACAGAGATTTAAATAAGTTTCCTTAGTAGCTTTGAAAGAGTCGGTGCCTGAGAGAACAGAATTTCCTCAGACTTTGGGTGGTAGCAGTGGAGTGGCAGCTGCTGAATAGGGTAGCCATAGCTTAAAAGGCAGCAACAGTCAATAGTAGTGAGGTTCACTGAGCTGTGTTTCTTAGCAACAAGAGGATACTAGAAGCCAACTGCCAAGTCATGTAAATAAGAGGAGTGCTAATTTACACATACTGATTTTGTATGATGTGACAAGTCATGGTGTAAAGGTTGTATTATCCTGTTAAGCTTCTTTATAAGGCCCTTATGAACTTGTTACTATTATTACCCCATTCTTAATTCTGAGAGAACTAAAGCATAATAATGTTGAATAACGTAACCAGTGTCACAGTGGGAAGTGGCAGAGCTTGCAATCAAACTTAAGTAAATGTTGCTTCAGACAATACCTGCCTGTGACTGGAGACACTGAGTATCAATACAAGTGCAAAGACATTTTTGAACTTGACAGTCAAAGGGTGTTAGAGCACGTACTATGTCATCAACTGAGAGGCAGTGGGAGGGAGGATGGAACCTTGAACTGAAAGACAAGTATATGGTTTGTGAAGTAATGCAGACAGTTGCCCTTATTGTCAGTATTCAGGCGTCTGTACTTGGCCTGTCCTCGGGGTTCTGATGGGATACGCCCTCAGCTGCAGGTACTAAGAGCACCACCAGTGTATATTCACTATGTTCCATTTTAAAAGGGCCCTGCCCACCTCCCGTCCTCCTCCTGCTCCTCTTTATCTCTCTCTTTCTTTCTCTCCCTCTCTTCTTGTTCTCTCCTCTCTCTCCCTCTCCCCCACTTTCCTTTTCTCCTCTCTCCTGCTGCTCCTGTCTCTGCAGGCTGGTCTCCCTGCTTCCCTTTCCCCTTTTTATGATCCCCTTCCCTAATCAAAAACCCTTCTGCTTGAACCCTGTCACATGGTGTCTTTCTTTGCGTGATACTTTGCTTAAATTACAACACTTAGCCCATTAGGGTCTTAAGTGGTAATAGAGGGAGGGAAGGGTGGGAGGATTCTTTAAGGTAGACTGTTGTACATCTGAGGTCTAAACTTGTTGCATTTATGTTTGTTTTTGACAGAGATTCCTATGTCTGAAGAATCTGCAGATGTTAAATTCTTTATTTACTTATTTATTGCAGTACTGGATATTGACTCTAGGGCCTTACATATTTCATGTAAATGTTCTGTCAACTGATCTCCGTCCCCTGGCCCAAGCATAATGTGTATTTAAACACCATAGCAAAGGTTTTGATTTCAGTGTTGATATCATTCCATTATGCTGAAAATAATTATCTAGATGAGGAAACTGATATGTAAATATGCAATCAATCAGATTTATTCAGGGCAAGTTTTGAGAGATAATGTGGGCACGACAGGCATTTTTATAGCCCTCGTAGATGATAAGATGAACAAAAAACTGTGTTTAAACATATTCAAACTTTCTGGAGAATGCATAGCTCTGGAGAAGGCAGTGTCTAGTGTCCAGTAGAGATAAGGATCCTGAAGAAATTGCTAGCTGGGAGATGAGGGACAAATGGGGTCCTAGAGGCTTCCATCTCTTGGTGAGGGAGAAACCTTTGTACTGTATGCTGCCTTTTTGTTGGGGCCCAGGAAGTTACCACAATGGTTAGTACTGTAAGTTTGCCTTCCAAGATGAGAAGCAAAGAGTGGAATGTTTAATCTGATGACGGAGCTAAAGAAAAGTCGGAGGTCGTGGCTCACTTCAGCAAGCATAGGCATTGCCGCGGTTGATTTTTCCTTGAGTATCATATCTGCTAGATGAAATATATAGTAATACTATGATATGGAACATGGCCTAAATTTTCTCAGTTTTCTTTCTATTTCAGCACGTTGAAAGTTGCATTACAATAGCAGGAACGTGTGTCACACCAACAAGATGGGCCCTCTTAAACAAAGGACTTTCAAAAACGAGACTAGCAAAAATGACAGCTTCAGGGTCTACAGAGCCAAGTAGCAGTAAACAAGAAGTTGCAAACTGAGTGAAAAACAATTTCCACGACTTATTTCTTAAAAACAACTTTTAATGAAGGTATTAAAAATCACTTTACTTATGTTTATTCTTATACTCTTATTTCTTCCTTTCATATTAGTGCTAGATCTTAAGTTGTGCAATCGCAACTAGCAGGAGTGTTATAATTAGTTCTATTAAACCCTTCATAATTATGGCCTATAGAGCCTGTGAGATGGCCCAGTTGGGAAAGGCACTTGATACCAAGCCTGATGACTTAGTTCGGTTCTAAAGACCCAGACCCACCTGGTGGAAGGGGAAGAGGAAAGAGAGACTCAAACTGACTCCTCTACCTTGTCTTCTGATCTTCACAAGCATAATAAAACTATACTTTTCATTTTTAAATTTAAATTAGAAACAAGCTTGTTTCACATGTCAATCCCAGCTCCCTCTCCCTCCCCTTCTCCCCTGCCCTCTACCCCTTCACCAGACCCTCCAGTCTCCCACCCAATCTCCACTCCAATCCCCAGGAGGGTGAGGCCCTCTATGAGGGATCTCCAGAGTCTGTCATTTCATTCAGGGCAGGGCCTAGGCCCTCCCCCAAGAGTTCAGGCTGAGAGAGCATCCCTCATTGTGGGAGGGGCACCAAGAGTATATTTGTATGCTAAGGAGAAATACTACTACCCAAGGTCCCATAGATTGCCTAGGCCTCCTCACTGACACCCACATTCAGGGGCGTCTGGATCAATCCCGTGCTGGCCTCCCAGCCATCAGTCTGGGGTCCAAGAGCTCTCCCTTGCTTAGGTCAGCTATTTCTGTGGGTTTCACCAGCCAAGTCTTGACCCCTTTTAAAAATTGTGTAGCTTTTTTCTTATCCCCCACCCATCAATAGAAAATGAGATGTATTCAATGTAGCTAACCTTGGAAGAAGGACAATGAGGCCTAGTAATGCCCCAAGTGCTTCTTTGGGGTCCTAACAAGAGGGTAAGTTTGAAGCAGAAGGCAAGACTAAGGCATTACTAAGCAGTAAGACATTGTTCCTCCCAATGCCCAATGCCACTGTGTCAGAGCTCCAGTCTCTCCTGAAGTACGGTCCCGTGCCTTTCCATCTGTAAATAGTCTTATTGTTTGCAACAAGGAGAAATATTCTAATACCTGAATGGTGCACGAGATCAGCAGTTCTCAATCAATGGGTTGCAACCCCTGTGGGGACCACATATCAGATATTCTCATATCAAGATATTTATATTAAAAATCATGCAGTAGAAAAATTATAGCTATGAAGTAGTAATGTAATAATTTTATAGTTAGGGGAGTCGCCGCATTAAGTACTGTATTAAAGGGTTGCAGCATTAAGGACGGTTGAGAACCACTGCACTAGATAGAAACAAAAGTTCAGGTCCCCACAACAGAGCTATTTTAATGACCACAGTTTGGAAATGTATTTGAGGTTTCTTGCTTCCAAAATTTTTGGCAATGAGATCAAGAATGTAAACATAGCTTTTGAAACCTGCCTCTAAAACCCATGACATTCAGAAGCACTAATCACATTTGATACAAGTCAATTTTAATAGCATTTGGACAGTTTTGAACAGAAATAAATAAATAAGCCTTCAAATGAGGCTGGCATTTAAACCAAATGGTGATTTGAGACAGGTCGTGTTTCATCAATGTAATGCCTGTCCGCAGAAAATTATGGTGAGCAATCACATGTTAAGTGCTTTATATGATAAAAACACCCACCACTTAAAAAACATGTCAACAGGACAATCTCCATACATAATAGCACCCCTTAGAGAGCTAATGTAGATGTATGTTTACATGTCATTAAATTTTAGAGTTAGCCATAAAAAAATGAAAACTCAAGGACATAAATCATACAGATTGGTAGCCACAGACATTAATACACAGGGAGCATTCCAGAGCCCTCCCAGTTAAAGTGCAAGCTGTGGGATAACTCTATACAGGAAATTTAGAACACCAGAAGCTCTAGATTTCAAGACTTCACTAACAAAGTTAATTACAGCACTTGCAAAAGAGATTTGCTGGGAAGTCTTTGTATCCATTTATACCAGTTTGACAACACATGGACACAAATTATCTTTGTTTACTATTTAATTATTACACAAATTCAGAAGGCATGTATATTCTTTACACAGTCCTTCCCTTTGTGAATTCCTTCCCTCCTTCCTCTAAATTTAATAGAGGAACATTTCAGTCCTTCTGTTTCTTCCGCTCCACCTGTATAAATTTATTGATACGACAACTGTTTTTTTATTCCAATACAAGCTCAATTATGAAGCAATCATAATTAATGTCAAAACGTTTCCTGCCTTTCTTCCTTTTTCCTACTTTCTTTCCTTCTTTCTTTCCTTTTGTCTTTCGTCTTTCTTGCCTTGCTTTATATCTTCTCATTTTCGTTGTCTGATTTGAAATAAAATCAAGATGTAAGTCAAAGAAAATGATTTACATAAAATGAAATTTCATAGCCGGGCGTTGGTGGCGCATGCCTTTAATCCCAGCACTCGGGAGGCAGAGGCAGGCGGATCTCTGTGAGTTCAAGACCAGCCTGGTCTACAGAGCTAGTTCCAAGATAGCCTCCAAAACAATACAGAGAAACCCTGTCTCGAAAAACCAAAAAAAAAAAAAAAGGAAAAAAAAAAGAAATTTCATTCAAACAGCTGTTCTGATCTTTTAAACGAGATTCTCATCTGTTAATTGGATTCACACATTTCTATCCATGACCAATGCACTAGTAGAATGGGCTTCCCTGGCCTTTGTATCCATGGCTAAGGAACTTGTTGCAGAAGATCCAGTCCAGATTCACTATTGAGATCCTAGGTGCTGAACCAGGAACAATAAATTGTAGAGCCAGCATGAAGGCAATCTTTTCTGTATGGCCTGAGGAAATTTCTGAGTAAAAAAAAATCTCTGGGAAGAAAGAGTCAGGATCCCTAGTCTTAGTTGAATAGTAAGACTAGAATTGTCAACCATGAAAAGCTCTTATCAGTAAAAATGTTCTGCCTGCTATTAGCACTACCCTTTGTGTCTGCCATAGTGCAGGTTGTCTGTAGAACATTAAGGGCCCTTAAATATATGAAAAACAAATCAGAAACGCTTCCCCCAGCAAACACGCTTGCTTCCTGCGGTTCTGTGTCACTCGAGCTTCTTGCATCATGGTGGTGGCAAATAGATCGTCTTTATAAGGGACCACTGAGGGCAGGCTGTGCCCAGCTCCCAGTTACTTCATAGTGTATAAAATGCTGGCTTCTCAGCTTGTACCTTGCTAAAAGATTATTTTGAAAGCTTCGTTTGACTCCATTTTAAGAAAGGAGGACAACTGTGCACCTGGGTGGACATTTGAAGTACATTTGGAACTACTCCTGAAGTGCTGATAAATTGCTTACTCCCAGGAATAGGCAGAATGACATTCTGATAATTTATTGATGCAAATTGAGAATATAGGTGCATGTGTGCTCATTAATATCATATCAAAGAAAAGTAGGCATAAGAACTTATTGGACATACAAAACCAAGGAAAGGGTATAATTACCCCATGTGAATACCATAAAAATGTGTACACCTAGGATCACCATGGTGTTGACTCCAAGGGACTCGTCACCTAACCACGGTATGTGCATCAAAGAACAAGGGGCAAAGAACTTACAACTATCCCTGGGCTTCAGCTTGGTTTAGTCTGCTGTTGTCTGTCTGTCAGAGACATGGTTCTGTCCTCTCACCTCTGCAGCTGGCATTCACCCTGCAGTCCATTCCTACATGGCAACATTCATGTCTGCATGGCTCCTACCCTGGAGCTGATTTGGTCCTTATCCTATCAATATGTTTTTATTTTCCATTTGCATCAGTATATTTCTTAAACTTCTGTCTTTTTACTCTCAATAGTCACTTCGTAACATACAAATGTGTGTGTGCATATGTGTCATAAGCTTGCGTGCATGTGTGTGAGTGTGTGTGTGTTGTGATTTGTGAGTTAGTCATCACCACTGGAGTTAAAAACATACTTGTGTTCATGTAGCTAGAGAGATGGCTCAGTAGGTAAGAGTTCATACTGATCTTGCAAAGGACACAAGTTCCGTTTCTAGCACCCAGGTCAGATAGCACACAAACACCTGTGATCCCCACTCCAGAAGCCTCTGGCATCTGTATGTAAATTTACTCACTAGCAGGTGTCCACTGGAAGACACACAAACACACATACACATATACACACATTTAAAATGATAAGAAATATTAAAATAGAAAATATGTGTTCCCCTCTGCCACAATATCAGGGAAAAGCAGATTTATTTTGGTTTCTGTTACTTTGCAAATTTGTGCAACTGAATCTCTATCACCATGTGAATTTACTGTGATGTTAGAAGTTCTGACACTGCTCGTGTTTCTGACATAGTATGTCCACCATAGGTGTCATACCTCTCAGTAGAAACCAAGGAAAGAAAGTAAGATTCACTTCTACCCACCATTCCCTAAGATAAAGGATAGGAGCAGGCAATGTGGTGATTTGTTAAAGGAATGCTACCCTTAGAAGATGCAGCCAATAACCACACTTCACAGCAGAATGCAAGCATATGCTCTCTGTAGTGACTGAACACTCAAGTCAACTGAGAATATTTATCTCTTGAGGGAGAAAATAGAAGCAAATTATTCTGGTTACACTTGGTAGACATCCTATATGTTTTAAGCTTGTGTAGCAAAACGGCTTAGAATCATTTTCATCAAAACGTAGTATGAAGCCGGATATCAACACTACCTAATAAAATTCTTTATATTAGTTGCAAAATAATATGCTAAAGTAATGTTAAACACTTCGAATATTTATTAGATAACAGCAATGCATAAACTTTCTCTATGACATTACTATAGAGATAATATAACAAGAGTAATTAAAAACAAACCAAAAGAAGAAATATGACTTGACAGATTTTGATGATTCCCTCATGGAAGACCTCACCCTCCCTGGGGAGTGGATAGAGGATGGGATGGGGGAGTCAGTGGGGGGCACAGGAGGATGGGAAGGAGAGGGAACAGGAATTGATACATAAAACTTAAAATGAAACAGAAACTATTATTCATATTAAATGCGCATTCTGGTAATGGATATAGAGATTAAAGATACAGAATGATCACAGAATCTGTTTAAGCATTCCTATTGGTGTCAGAGGAAATGGAATGCATGTCTCTGGCATAAGAGCAAATAACATGGACCACATATTTGGAAGTGTCCTGTTTGTTTCTAATGTCAGCAGTTCACTCAGTAGAAGCTGGAGAACCCATACCCTCCATAGCATGAAGGGCGGCGGCAGCCATATCCGTAGCCTCCAAAGCCGGAGCCGTATCTGTAGCCTCCATAGCCAGAGCCATATCCATAGCCTCCATAGCCAGAGCCGTATCCATAGCCTCCATATCCACAGCCACAGCCCAGCCTGCGGATGCTGTTACATCCACAGCCATAGCCTCCATAGCCATAGCCCAGGCCTCCGTAGTAGCCGCTGTAGTAGCTCATGGTGTCGGGAGTAGAAGGTTTGATCTTCTGTTTAAGGAGAGGCTGTGAGTGTGAGCATCAGCACCTACAACAAAGCTTATATACTCTGGGCAGAGTACCTGATGAAGCTTGGGCCCCTCCTTTGTGACATTCCATGAATTGTAATTACTCGAGACAATGCATGCGTCTACTGTCATTTGACCAACATCTGTTGAGGATGCTTAGGCTTTATTTGGCTACCTAGTGTGTTTGTTTCACAACTTACTGCTTTAACCTTATTAGACAGAGTATTTATAGACTTCAAGAGAATTTGCTATTATTAGACAATACCGAACATATTAAGTATTCCTGAATGGAAATTAAAATTTTTCTAGTGCATTTTGTTGGGGGACACTGTTATATTTTGAGTCCAAAAAAATTTGGAAAACAGCCTAGATCAAGACTGAAATGTGTCAACGTTTACAAAAGAGTTACATATTTTGTGTCACGTGAGGCAAGGACTTAACTCACTGTCAAGAGCCATGAATTGTCACCTGATTTCTAGAGGGATAAGACTTTGGGTATGCATGTTTGTCATAGTTATTTGAGGATTTACATTCAATTATGCAATATTTATTTTCTGCTTAACAACACACCACAATTGACTTATAAGTGAAGAGAGAGACAATGACAGTGATTAAAAACCTACTTGGCTTCTTGGCAGAACTCTCCCTCGCTCAGGCAGGGGGAATCCAGCTTCAGGTCTCCCACAGATGACATCTGTGTCTGCTCTAGTCACCTTGTGTCCTTTCTAGAGCTGTTATTGGTGATTTGTGTCCTTCAAGTTTCATTTCAAATATCACCTAACGTGAATTTCCCACTGTTTATCTCTACCTGTGTGAATAGATAAGGAGGTAATGGACAGGGCTACCTCCTACTCACTCATGCCAATACTGCTTAGTTCTCCACACTTAGGATAAGGCTTGCACCCTTTGCACCACTTTACCTATCTTCTGTCATTGTAGTTGCTTTTAGGTGTTATGTTGAGGTAACATTTCCCACAGCACCAACTGAACGAGCAAATTGGCAAAGAATGGGCTGGCAAAACTAGCAGAGACAGCTGATCTGAACAGGGGAGAGCTCTTGGATCCCAGACTGACAGTGGGGAGGCTAACATGGGACTGATCTGGACCCCCCAAATGTGAGTGTCAGTGAGAAGGCCTGGGCAACCTATGGGGCCCTGAGCTGTGGATCAGTGTCTATCCCTGATATACAAACAGTCTTCGTGTGCCTATAGCACAAAGAGGGATGCTCTCTCAGCCTGGACTCTTAGGGGAGTGCCTGGACTCTACCCAGAGTAAAATGACAGACTCTGATATCCCCTATGTGGAAGGATTTGGCAATAGGGTGGGAGGGTGGGGGGGAAAGGGGAGTGCAGGAGGAGGGGAGGGAGAGGGAACTGGGATTGACATGTAAAACAAGCTATTTAAAATTTAAAAAATTGAAAAAAACATTAATACTATTTATTACTTAAGACATACTTTCACACATAAAACCCTCTGGACATTTAATAAGACTTGTAAGTCTCAAAAATATCCTAAATTTAGTAACTGTAAGGTACAATCAGAAAAGGGGGAGTGGATAAAAAGATACTCTCTTGGAATGTTGAAGGCTTGGTGTTCAGTCTCCCTTTGGCTCGCCCCAGTGTTGGCGCAATGCCCCAGGCTGAATTTGAATCTCAGAAAACTGCACCCACATGTAGCCATATCCTGAAACATGAGTCCTATATAATTTATTGTATGACTATAATTACACTGTTAAGTTTTTCTTGATATTTATTATAATTTTTGAATGGCATAGGTTTAAGGCTGTAATATTCCATTTATGATTATTAAGGGACATATTCTTTGTTACCATAGGTTTTCTTTTTGACCTTACATAGTGTTAAAGCTTGGCAGGCAGTTGGCACTCAAAAAACTATATGAGTGGTGTATATGACTGTAATGTTAATACACAGACCAATGTGAATGGCGTACATGCCTACCCGTGGTATTAAAGCAAGGCCCAATCAGAGAATAACTTGGGCAGCTTATCAGACCCTCTAAGAAATATTTTCAGCCTAGTATGAACTGCAGATATGTTTCTGTGGTTGACATGGCAGTAAACCAACACTAGCCTTTCTCTGGAGTGTCTGTGCTACTCTAGGCAAATGTCACTCAGAAGCAGACACGGCCTCTTGAAACCGCAGCCAGATACTGACATTTTTCACGCCCATGCTCATGAACCACATACTGGAGTTATAAACCCCACCCCTAACTTTCATAGTATTCTAAGTTTATAATTTTATGCCAGGCCATCTGGAAGGATGGTTTAGAACTCTAATTAAATCACAGTTAATAATTTCACACTACCGTTCTGGTACTTTATATGTGTGTGTAGCTTGTTAAATGCCTTTTCCCCAATATTTTGAGACATAGATCATCTTACAGCCAGGCGATGGTGGTGGTGCATACCTTTAATCCTAGCATTAGTGAAGCAGAGGCAAGCTAGTGTCTGCGAGTTCAAGGCCAGCCTGGTCTACAGAGTACACAAAGAAACCCTGTCTCAAAAAATATCATCTTATATGTAGAAATAGTATGGGAAACAAATGACGAACACTTCAGTAATTTGATTAACACTAAATGCATCTTAATGAAGGAAGATGTAAAACTGTGCTGTGCAAATTTTATTTATTTCTACATTAAAACAAGAAAAAGCCCTTTGAAGAAAATAGGACAAAACCACCATTTTCCTATGAGCACAAGACAAAAAATATTTTTTATGATACTTATTGAGAATCTTGTATTTTTCTACCCATTCATTGGAGCAAAATAAAAATTATGCTGGTATTACCAGTTTGGAAGTCTCAACTCATGACGTACATAAATTTTTACTCAGGCTAAAACACTTTCTTACTATTTATAGAAGCGTTAAACTTTTAAGAATGCAAAATATTTCCTCTCAACATAGAAAATAATCAACTCATCTTAAAGAAAACAAAATTGTGATATTATTGACTGAACTAAGAATGTCAATGTTAGAAATTATTTTTCTCCTTTACAATCTTTTGGTACCTATTCATGGAGGGTATTATCTTATTCAGAAAGAAAACACCTGGGAAATCCTATGATGCTGGGTCAGGCTACCTAACTAAGCCTTCAACAACATTGCTGAGAGCCATTTCACTGGCTCTGCCCACAGTGGTGGTCCATCCCAACTTACAGCAGCATAAACCAAAAGTGCAGGTCATAGCAAATTTTCACTGAGAGTTGGAATTTAGCATTGCTGACTGGTTAGTTACGTCCCCAAATAGATAACTTGTCGATCGATTCATTCATCTCTCCATTTCAAAGAATAAGCTTTTTAAAAGAGGCAGGAGTTAACTCAGGCCTTGATCTGACAAAAGTTACAAATGTATGAGGTGAGAAGTAAAATATTAATGTTTGTATTCAGCATGTGTTTGTCAAGGCAGGACTATTGTTTTTCTATCTCCTTATTTTTTCGTCACTATTAAAGTATAACCCCCCATCTCTCTCTTTTTCTGATATGTATGTATGTATGTCTTTATCCATCTGTATATATTTGTGTGTTTGCATATTCATTTACATGCTTATATATTCTTGTATGCAATTTGCTGTACTTAATAGATATCATTACATATAAAACAGATATTTTACATTTAAATGAAATGAACCAAACAAAAATGTATTTCAACTTCTTATTGAATCATTTATTGACAATTGAACATGAACTCACTCTTAATCCCCAAGCTTAAAATGCAGACACATTTTATAAATGGAGTCGTTGTCATTCAAGGATTTCACCCGCTCAGTAGTCTTAGGACCATCACAGTCACTTGACTAGGATTTCTCGGAACATTTAGTGAAGGTGTCAGATTCTGAGTTACTAGAGCAGGATTTCAGTAGAAGCTGGAGAACCCATACCCTCCACAGCATGAAGGACGGCGGCAGCAGCCATATCCGTAGCCTCCATAGCCAGAGCCGTATCCGTAGCCTCCATAGCCAGTGCCGTATCCGTAGCTTCCATAGCCAGAGCCGTATCCGTAGCCTCCATAGCCAGAGCCGTATCCGTAGCCTCCATAGCCAGAGCCGTATCCGTAGCCTCCATAACCACAGCCACAGCCCAGTCTGCGGATGCTGTTACATCCACAGCCATAGCCTCCATAGCCATAGCCCAGGCCTCCGTAGTAGCCGCTGTAGTAGCTCATGGTGTCGGGAGAGGTAGGTTTGATCTGTTGTTCAAGGTAAGATCCTGAGTGTGAATGTCAACAGGTGTAGGGGAAAGCTTATATACTCTATGCCGAACATGTGACAAAACCTGTGGGCACTATTTTCTTTCATTCCAAGTTTTTAATGTATTAGAGACATCTCATTAATCTGTTTGCTAGCACAAAGGGAGGCATATAACTCATTAAAATATTTTAGCTTGCTTCTCTGCCTAGTTAGAATGCCTTTGAACTCATTGTGTCCGTTTTTATGAGGAAATGCCAATGCCTTCAAGGTTAGAGAATTTAAGTTCCTGTAGTAGAATTCATTGTCGTGATTATCATATCATTCATACCAGCAGCCTTTTTTCTAAATATTTTCTTACTCCTCACTTTATTTCATTCATTTAATTTGCAATATGCAATATCCATCTAGATTATAGTAGGTGATTTTTAAAAAAATATTTAAATGTTCCATAATTTTCAAATGCGTTTTCAGATTGACAAATGGAGCATCTGAACTCTTTCAAAAGAAGAAGATATGGTTTAGATGAATGAGCCCAATCATGATAGATATATAAAAAGAAACAGAAAATTATAGGTAAAACAAAAACTATTTTCACTTCATCCATCATCATAAAAATTTTTCTTGGCTTATCAAAATACTAAAATGTAACCCAGAAACCAAAGAATTATCAAGATATTAAACTCATTACATTTTGTAACCGGCCTAAATATGTTACTTTTCAAAACTATTCTTTTTTATATCCATTTCGTCATTGCTAGAGACTGGATCCTACCTACAGTATTGTCTGAGTTTCTCAAGATTCTTGCTTCATGACTTTGCCTCTTCTCTCTCCTCTGTCTCCTCTTCTTTATACCCCTGCAGCCCTTTCTGTGTCAAACCACCCTTGACCTAATAATTCACATTTATCCTCTATTTATTCTAGTACTAACCTCCTCTGTGTCAAACCACTCTTTACCTCATAATTAGCATTTATTCTCTATTTATTCTAGTACGAACTGGGTATTTCGTTTTTTAAAGCAGACTTTAATCTTTTTATCTACATACCTAAAGTTATCACAAACACCGTTTCCCTTACATTACATTTTCTATAGAATATGCTATGTCTTCATTATTTTGTCTCAGAAAATGAGCTCATGAGAGTTCAAGACATTAATTGAAAATGTTTGAGTATTTTAGGATGCATTTTGCGGTTGTACACTATTTTAGCAGTATGCTACGAAATTGTCAGGACTTATAACTCTCCAAATTATGAATGACAATGTTTAACAAACTGGGTTGCAAACAAGAATGTGAGGGGAGCCCACCACTTTCCTCAGATTTCTTAATCTTAACCTTAAAAACAGGAATCAATCCAAACTTAATCATCATTGGAATATAACTGTACTCTAGGCTTTGGACTCTAATTATTATTTCATTTTATATGACATTAAGTATATACCCGAGAAAATATCGTTTCTATCTTTTGTTTTAATGTTTGGAAATAGGATTCTTGATAACATCTTTCCCAAATGTATTAGTCAACTCTTTTTTGAAAGAAAGCAGTTGGGTAAAGAAAATGATGAGTTCTGTCCGGCACAACTTATCATGAACAAGCTGTCTAAAGGGCTTACAGCTTTCAAAGGAATATTTAAACAAGTGTTTTTCCCTTCAGGTAAATTCTTTTGCTGCTCTGTCCAAGTTTATTCTACTGTTTGCTGTGAAAAAAAATGGGAGGAGAAAATATCCCCTTCTCAATGAGTCATTTTAAATTTACTTTTATTTTATAAGCACTGGTGTTTTGCCTGCACATATGTCTGTGTGAGGGTGTCAGATATTGGGGTTGCAGACAGTTGTGAACTCTATGTGGGTGCTGGGAACTGAACCCAGGTCGTCTTGGAAGAGCACTCAGTGCTCTTAACTGCTGAGCCATCTCTCCAGAACCTTCAAGGAGTTATTTTTAACTCCAGCGGCAGTAAGAACATTGAAAAGTTTGAAGAATCTTCTGAATGCTAGGCAAGTGTGGCAGGTATGTGCACATGACTAAAGACTCAGTCGACTCAGTCACACTCTTGTTTTTTTTTTGTGCATAATGACATGCACTCACAGTATGAAGTAGACATGACAAATGAAAAGGAGCTAAACCATGGCGCAACTCTGGATTTACCTTTACAGTTTCAAAAAAGCAACAAGTCATATATAAACTTGTCTTCATCTTTGTGTGCACACCCATGTAAGTGCAAACATTCATGCTTAAGGATAAACAGCAAAAGAAAGTCATGAAATCTATACATCCAAATATCAAAGGTAGACATAGTGATGTATAAACATACTCCTGCGCTCAGGAGACACAGGCAGTGTCTTGAAAAGTGAGGACTTCATTGTGAAGTGATGTAAATTTTTAACTTAATCTAGGGAGATTTCACAGAATGATGAATTTTGGTTGAACTATGCACAATGGCAAATGAACAAGCAGGTGGTGTGGTAGAAGAAAAGTAATTGTGCTTCCTATAATGAAATTGGAGAGGTCAGTTTCATTCTTCTGTACCTTATAAACATACAACAAGTAATAGACAGCTCCAAAAATTAGTTCAGGAGTGAACCAGAAGACAGATGTTTGGGTTGCAATGGCTTTATTAATGATGTGTCTTAAAAAGAAGAATGTCCTTTCATGGAGCCTAAGGGAAAAAGATAAGCACTAAACTGAAAAGGTATAGCTAGAAGATTGTGATTTAAGTATGGACTGGTCTCATCCAAATGTTACCCTGCTTAATTAATAACATAGATCAATGGCACATTTAACTATCAAATAAGAATGTATGAAAGTTTGGGATGAGATTGCATAATTCAAAATTTTTCTAGCAAAGGTAGTTTACTTTCACAGTATGCTTAATGATCAGGTTTGATCTAAAATGTTTTATTGAACTACAATTAAAGAGCCAAATTTGCTGAATGGATGAGATGAGAAATGCTTCTAAATGTAATAAAACATTTGTAACATATGAAGATATAGTTATGTTGACAGCTGTTTGTTGCTGACATGAATATGAGTATTGCCTAGTGAAAGAAACAGCAAAGTATCACTTACTGATTCTACTGAAGCTGTCTTTTCATTAACTCCCAATCTATTATTTCTGTGTTTAAGGGCTCTCACTTACACAAAGGAATTGTCAAGATTCATTTGCATGCATACACAATTAAATTTATGAACAGAATCAGACTTTGTTCCCAAATTAGAATGATTTATTAGAAGATGAAGAGATAATCAAGTCAGTTACAACAAAAATTAAAGAATTCTGGTGCCATTGGTGTTATGAACTGAAAATTGTAGGACCTACTAAATTTTCATACAAAAGTAATACCACCATGAATGTAGAAAGGTGAAGAATGATTGAAGCCGCCTTTGGAGAGTTCTCTTATTGTTTAAGTGCTGAATATGAAGATGATTTAATGGAGTCCAGAGATTCCAGAACTTACTCATGATGGGTGGCAAAATGCACCACAGCCTCCATAGCCAGACTCATAAGCATAGTTTCCACAAACAGCCCTGCCCCAGACTGCAAATGTCTCTACATCCATTATGACAGCCACAGCTCTAGATCCTGAAGCTTCCATAGTTGCAACCCAGGCTGGGTAGCAGTTGCCACACTTGTTCATGGTGTCCAGTGTGGCAATTGGTCTGCTCAAGGAAAGATACTTAGTGTGACAACTGAAATGCTATCACATAGGTTTTTATACTCTACCACGCAATGCTATCAAATATTTATTATTTGCTGTCAAAACGCATGTATTTCTATGCACCACACTTGACAGAGTCCTGACATAGGAAGGCAGTATTCACCTCACCACTGTGTGTGAGCTCGTGCTGCTCTCTGTTCACAGAGATCCTGAAACCTACTGTATCACTTTTATGGAAAGAAATTTATGTCTTCAAAATCGGACCCACTGAGTCTAAACAGCTGTTCATAAACAAAGTCAACAACAGAGTTGCAGTGCAAGGTTGAAATTAAATATCCCTTTATATCTGGGTTTCTTTTACTGATTCTGCTTTGCTTATTATTAAGTGAAATAACATAATTGAATTCAATTTACTATACCCCTTCAAAGCCATTTCATACCTCACTTTGGGTTTCTTGTCAAATGGTAAGAAACATTTAAAAGCTCTAGAGGCATCAGCCTACCTGCTGTGTTCAGCAGTGGGTAATCTCAAGAGCAAAAGCTGAAATGTATTCATTATTTTCTCATCTTCTTTTAATATTGTTTTGGAGCATCAATCCCCATTACCAGTAAGCTTTATTTTAACATTTGTTTAAAAATAAAATTATTTTTATCTGCAAACATGCATAATCTTTTAAACATAAAAGGCAGTTCATAATAATTAGAGATCTGTTTTAAACAGTCTTACAAATTATCAAAAATTAAACTCTTTAATAATGACATATTTTCCTGTATATTAGGTATCCAAAGTATTATCATTAAGTACAGACTACAATATCCCCTGCCCACAGCTGTGGTCACTAGTACCTCATGTCCTCTGTTCTGTTCCTGCTCTTTTAATCAGTTATTCTGAGTGCCCAGTATTACAGATTTCTCTCTGGGTCCACCAATTTTCATTCAAAAGTTTTTATTTTCATATAAAATATATGATATCACATGGCAATACATAACTATTTTCACCATAATCACTTTAGTTTCCTTTCATTTGTCTATTATGTGTTTATTTATATGATATTAGCTAGCTGGTGCCTCATAAGATAATAAATATTTATCTGGACCTCAGATGTTGAGAATTTTCTGTTAAAAATGACCATAAAATTCAGCAGCCATTTACATCGAAGATATCTTGAAAATCCCCAAAAAACATGTTGTAAAAAGATAGAATAGAAAAGATAATATTAGAGATGAAAATAATTTTCAGTCATTCTTAAGATACCAACTCATCTGTATTGATACTCGAGGTTCCTGTAAAGTTTGCATAATCTTGACTCACAGATGGCTT